GGCGGCCGGCGCGGGGCGGGGGAGGGCCCGTCCGGCGGGCGGCCCCAGCCGCGTCGGCCCCCAGGGAAACAGCCGGGACCTGAGAGAAACCCCGGCCCCCCCTGGCAGGAAGGCACTGGCCATGGCGGTGAGACCTGGCCGCTGCCCTCCGGGTGGATGCTTCTCCCCCCTCGTGGGTTCATGGAGCCGGCTGGAGGGTGCCGGGCTCAGCTCCATGTCCCCCTCTGGCACCTGTCCCTCTCTCTCCCGTCCGCGGGGGGTGAGGCGGCGTCCGGAAAGGGGGGTTGGTACCACCTGGAATTCGGAACCGTTTCCGTCACCCCCAGGTACTTAGCGCTCCGTCCCCTCACCTTGCTCCACTCCACGGGGCAGGCGGGCGGTGGCTGGGCGGAGGTACATGGACTCGTGCGTCCTGCGGGGTCCGCACGGGTGGCTACGGGAGGTCTGCTGAGGGAGGGCGGGCACGTGCGCACGTGCCCGCGCCCTCGGTGCTCCATGCCCGCGCGGCCCCTGGGATGGAGAGGGGTTCCACCCTGCCTCCCCCTCCGCAGAGGGGTTGTGGAAGGCTGTTGCCCGCGGGCTGTGGCTCCCTCGCCTCCCGTCGTCCTGTTGCCCGGCCCGTCCCTCCAAACCCCCCATCCTATCGCTGTCACCCCCGCCGCACCTCCGGGTGGGGCGAGGGCCGGCCACGGGGAGTGGAAGAGGCACACGATGCCGGGCGCAGGGGGCGGGCACACACTGCGGAGCCACCGGAGCCCGCGGAATGGCCGGCCATGACCCCCCCCACTCTGAGCCGAGCGCCTGGACCGACCCCGCAGCGGAGGGCTCACCTCCACGGCCACAGCCTTCCCTGTGGGTTGTTAAACCTCTTTCTTGTGTTTGGTTGAACAGTAGGGCTCCCACTGAGGGAAGGCGGCGGGGCACCCCGGCCAGGCAGGAACGCCTCCCCCCCCACCACGTGGCGGCGGCGGGGGAGGAAGGTCGGCTCGGGGACCCCCTCCCGACCTCGCGCAGACCCAGGAGCCAGCCCTCCCTCTGGCTTGGCTTCTGCCATGGGGCGAGGTGACATACCATGGAAAAAAAAGCCTGTGAAAACTGTGACAACTCTTAGCAGTGGATCACTTGGCTCGTGCGTTGATGAAGAACGCAGCTAGCTGCAAGAATTAATGTGAATTGCAGGACACATTGATCATCGACACTTCGAACGCACTTGCGGCCCCGGGTTCCTCCTGGGGCTACGCCGGTCTGAGCGTCGCTTGAAGGTCAATCACCCGCGCGGTGCATGTGGGGCCGGTGGTGCTGGCCGTCCGGTCCCCGCTGCCACCGGGCGTGGCTGGGGTGCCTCGCAGGCAACCCGGGGTCCCTCGGGCCCACTGCCTCTTGCCCACTCGGTGGCAAGTGGGGCGGCCCGAGCCCCCGGAATGCCTTCGTCCCCCTAAGGTCAGACACGATGCCCTGGAGCACCCGCTTCGGGGAGCTCGTCCCGCTCGTGGAGGACCATTGCGGCGGTCCGACCCGTGCTTTGGCCGGGTCGGCCGCGCGGCGCCCGCTCCCGGGGTGCCAGGGGGAGCCAGGCCCACCCCGTGCGGCTGTCTGTGGTGACACGGCTGGCC